TAAAATTAAAATAAATTTACGATTAAAATAAATGCGTAAATAATGAATTAATAATAATGAACCAACCTGAGCAGTAAGATAAAAAAAAATGGGCATACAAAAGAAATTCATTTTCTTTAAATCGTTATATTTGTTTTGTGGTATCAAAACATTATTCCAAATATATATATATATATATATATATATATATATAACGTTAAAGTAATATATATATATATATATATATATATATATATATATATATATATATATATATATATATATGTGTGTGTGTGTGTGTGAAATGAGAAATAATCGAATGTAAATTCTGACGTTTGTAACATTAATTTAAAAGAGAGTTCAATATAATAATAGATCAATATTCTTTATTTTAGGATATTACATCAAAAGCATGTGAATAACGCTACACAAATGCAATCATGTTTCGATGTGTATTAACGCATCTCATCAGACGTTAATATCAGGTCATCCCATAAGTTCTGTCCGAATTTTAACTTTTTGTTAAAATGAACGGAATTTAAAGAGTATTTTATAATGTCTAATGGAGCTGAACATTATTTTTATGTTTAGATGCATTTAAACTGATCAAATTTTATTTCAGAGAACAATAAAATTAAATTTTGTTTGATTAAAACCCTGCTAACATGGAAGTACCCAAGAATCATTTGAGCCACATAATGCTTTATGAGTTCAATAAAAGGAAACTCAGCAGCCGAAGTGGCTAGAAACATTAACTCAGTTTATGGAGAGGAATGTGTGAATGAAAGAACTTGCAAAAGATGGTTTGCAAAATTCAGAGGTGGAGATTTCACCCTTGAAGATGAAGATCGAACCGGACGTCCAGTTGAGTTTGATGAAAAGCTTCTTGAAGCAGCCCTTGAAGAAAATCCTGCTTTATCAGTTGAGGAATTGGCAGTGGTTCTGAGTTCAAACCATACAACTGTTCATCGTCATCTTCAACAACTTGGAAAAGTTCCTAAACTTGGAAAATGTGTGCCTCATGAATTGTCTGAAAACAACCTCAAATCCTGAGTTGACATCTGCTCTTCTCTCCATTCTCGCCAACTTGTTTCACCTTTTTTGGATAGACTTGTGACTGGCGACGAAAAATGGATCTTTTATCGAAATGTTAAGCGTCGTAGATAGTGGCTTGGTAAAGGGGAAAGACCCCAGCCACAGCCGAGAAGGGAACTTCATTGGCAAAAGGTTCTTCTTTCAATCTGGTGGGATCGCCAAGGAATAATCCACTTTGAATTCTTACCACCTAATGCAACAATTAATGCCCAAATATACTGTCAGCAATTAGAGCGTTTGAACCAAGCTTTGAGGAAAAAAAGACCTGCTCTAGTGAATCGAAAAGAGGTGATGTTTCATCAGGACAATGCGCGACCCACACAGCAAGAATCACGTCACAAAAGATCGAAGAACTTGGTTGTGAGAAAATTCCTCATCCACCTTATTCTCCTGATCTTGCTCCTTCAGACTACCTTTTGTTTCGTAGCTTACAGAATCATTTGGAAGAAACAGATTTTGTAACACAGGAAGAGGTTAAAACTGACATTTGTGAGTTCTTCGAATCAAAGCCAAAAGAATTTTACAGTAATGGAATTAGTAAGCTCGTTAATAGATGAAAGGAAGTCATAGATAATCAGGGAAAATACATTGTTGATTGAATCTGTAATTAAATGTAACATTTGGTCACTTGTTTTCTTTATTCGAAATTCGGACAGAACTTATGGGATGACCTGATAGATGGAAGGAAGTCATAGATAACAGGGAAAATACATTGTTGATTGAATCTGTAATTAAATGTAACATTTAGTCACTTGTTTTCTTTATTCAAAATTCGGACAGAACTTATGGGATGACCTGATAAATGACTGGTTAGTACACAATTTATTGAGATTTAAAATTTAAAACCACATACAACCTCTTTTCACGCAAAAAAAAAGAAGAAAAGAAAAAAGAGTAAGAAATAAAGGCATAAGATACAATCTCTCCTCCATAGAAAAGGAAGAATAAGGAGAAATAGTAGAAAAGAAGAGGGAGGGGGATAGCAGCAGAAATTGTTTTGTTTATATTCAGATCCACCAATCAAAATGGCCTACGTTAAGTAAGAGGTTGTCGGAGTTAACTCCTCCTTTAGTTCGTTAACCCTTTCACCAGGCGTCTCTCTTCCCTGGCTTTAAATATTCGCTGACACTTCGCCTCTTCCTCTTTTTTCCTCAGGCCTTTGGGCCGACACCTGGAGGTAAATCTCTTTTTTTTCTTCAGGCTTTCATCCTTATTACCTCGAAGATGTGAACGCTCACAGAGATAGCGTTTCCCAAATGCTGGGAACACGCTAAGCACAATACACACACACGCACATATATAATATTCACACACACACTTTGTCCCTTGTAACTGTTTCCATGTAACTTGTTATTAATATATATACATGTATACATATATTATCAGTCTTGTGTTTGTTTTTCTTTGACTTCTTCTTTGGACTTAAATAAAGTCCAACTTTCTCATGTAGCAGGAAAATCTGAACCTACATGTGTTCTTCTGCGTCTACTCAACAACATCACAGCCACGGTCCACTACAAGGTCATGACCCACAGATTTAAAATCGTGGACAACTTTATACTCGATACAGGCTTAAGTATGCTACAATGTTAA